AATGTTCGTCGAAATGCACCTAAGACTGCGTACGTTACGTGTGTATTCTCGTGAATAACTCCGTAGTTTATTCTTGTCATGTCTGAAGACGGATTTTCTTCGTGCAATGTATGACGGTTGGCTTGTACGTGTGTGTGTTCTTTTCTTAACTGAAATGTGTGAGCTTCTTGTACTTGAAAAAAATTACGAAATACAAACTTAGATTATCCCATTCGATTGTTCAGAGGCACCACCTAAGCTTAATGCTCTAAAAATTGATTGAGCCATTCGCACAAGTTAATGACCGTCGACCGTGTAGCTTAGGGGTAAGGGTTTGAAGTCCCGACCCGAAGGTTCGCGGTTTGAGTCCTGACAGGGACACAAAAAAATAAGAACTGCTAACGCGTCCCGATACAGGACGGAACAGTTGTCCAGTGCGCTTTGTCGGTTATCACAAACATGACTATGAATCACTGAAAACGAGCTTGTTCGCCGCTCCTTGTTCTACTTGAAATGTGCTCTGTGGGACTGTTTGGATAAACATTTCCATCGCTTTTAGGATACAATAGATTTTCGTTGTTTCTGGGACGACTGTTTCTTTTTGTTGAGTAACCACTCTAAGGGGATTCATTCCCGGGATTATCGTTTTATGGATTTTCGTTGTACTAGAAATAGGTAATCACGGAAAACCACTGAAAACATGATTGGATCTAAAAACTTATGGTAGCTCTAGACTATTCATTGGTACAATAGTTTGACCCAGTTGAATAAGTTTCGCTGACGTATCTCAGGATTTTGATAGTCCAAGTCAGTCTAATGTTTCCCGGTCCATTCCATTCAATGTTACTATAACATTTTCTATTCTAACCTATCAGCCAGTTGCACCGTAGCATGAAGATGAACTTGGAAATATTACCCGATCTTCTCGGCAGCTGAATTATCTTCACAATTTTCCAACTTACAATTCATGCTCCTGTACATTAATTGAACATCAGAAACATATAGACCATATTGTCTGAAGCACCTACCAGACACTGACATTGATCGTCACTTTGAAACCTGAAGTGAAGTGAACGGTCACGTAGAACCGTAATATGACCGATATACTTCTCAGGGTTCACCAGTAACTGGTCACCTATCGACAACTTGTGGTTCACAACTATAGCGACTAGAATGTGGGTCATTTGAACGCCGTATACCGAAAGCGGAGGCACCCTTCTACGCGACGAAATTTTTCATCAGGATCTATCCTCGCGGTCTCGTGTAAGTAAATACACTCCGTCCGCTATATGTCACACACTCGGCAGTTCACACTTGCATACTAATGATGTCCCATTTCTGACTGCTAGTGCACTAGCCTATTTAAATGTGAACCGAGGCGAATTTGAAATATGACCTTACCGTCCGATCACGTGAGTATGATTATTGAGGACAGTGGATAGAAGAGGATCCAGTGGGGCGTCCGGATAAGTGAACAGTACGGATAACTAACAACTACAGAGGATCGTATCGTTACTGCACTCTTCAGTTGATTCGCCCTCTCTCTCAGTATCACCATCAATAATGACGTTCAACCAGTGGGTACAAAATTATCATTATTGCGCTCGATTTCGGACTTCTGCACCTGATGAAAACAAATAGTTTCACCATATGAAATAGGCTGTCCAATAAGTCAATCTTTCTTCATTAATTCAATTAATTTTCATTTAAACTTTATCTATTCCTTGGTGAAAACTTGGACGCATGTGAATAGCGAAATTCCCAGCGCACATGGTTTCTGCCTATATTGTTTTTTTTCCAGCAAACAGGGAATCGTCTTAACCTCTCCCAAAGCCGTACTACTCTACAGTTCCCGTTTACTATCGATGCCATTGCGTCAAGAATTTCCTGATCTTTTCAACATTAGATGTTTCAAACGGTAAAGGTTGTCAAAACAGACTTTGCAATCGACCTCTCCTCCCTCGCGCCTGCTGCCTATTCATGCCCTTTTCTGTATTATTATTCGTTCACCTGTGTTCTAATTTATACAGTATTGAAATCCTGGTCATCGAACAGCTTGTCAGATGTTTCATACACACATGCGCGCACTCAGAACACGAGAATGCTTGTGTGTGATAGATGCACGATTGTCAGCCGGGTTGTTGTTCATCGCGTCGGCAAATTAGTAACGCTCACCTCTTTTTCATAATTATCACACCCGCATGTGTCACGTTAAGTCGCGCAAGTGCGACGATGGATTGAGACTGTCGCTGACATCGGCACCGGGATGTATGGAAATAGGCAGCATAGGCTTCGATCCACACACACACACACACGGGAATCAGTCAACGTGAGTGATATATTTGTTCAACCGTTGCTCGCTTACACGGTTTTGACTTTTGAAGGATTATCCCGATTCGTGACTCAGCTACTGACTTCGCATCTGTGCGGTTCTGCTTGTGATTTACAACATAGAGGCAAACAATGAGTAATGGTGAACAAATATAAGAACGGACTCGGTGGTGGTGTTGTTTGTCTAATCCACCCGCGCTCATTGGTCAAGAGTCTAATGAGAGTGACCAAAACGACTATTTATTTACTGTTTTTTCTCCAGTGTTAATCGATAATGTAATCAATCCTCCACCACGTCTTCTCACTCCCTCCTCCTCTCCCCTCGCTGTTCCTCAATCGAACCAACCACCGCTTCGGTTTGCATTGACAGATCCACCGGTGAAATGAAGTGTTCGCTGTCGTGATCCTCACACTGAGCGGCTACTGCTCACCTGAACGTGACGAGGTAAAACCCGATGAAGCCAACTGTCGTGCAAAAGTAAGTGTACGAAACGTATGATCTTTGTGTATTCATTGGTTTGCGGTAAGTACATAAAGATCGTGATACGAGTTCCAAGCGAATTAAACCACTTAGTTTGGGTTGCACCTCTTTTCGCTTATTTATAAAAAGAAAAAAGAACTTCTCACCGTCGGAACACTTGAATACACGTACAGCTGATGAGACAGGAGACGCTATAAACTTATACATGCATTTTTATGCATAGGGTGACCGCATGAGAAGAATAACTAGTAAAACATTTTACTACTGAATGTGTACCATTTACTCAGCCGTCTCAGACGCTAGACTTCATAGGAATTAAGAGGTTGAGTTCGAATACGATCTGAAGACGAAAAATGAACATATCAGTATCACGACACCACGAGGAACTACTCGAAAAAGGGATTAAATAATCTTTTTTAGTGTTCATATCATACACCGCGGACGAATTGTCATCTATCTCAATATTCCCACCATTTGAATGATGAATTTCAAGGTGAATATTCAGAACGGAATTAATGCGTGAAGTGCACAACGATTCCTCCTGGATAATCAAGCAATCCTCGAAGATGATAAATGACTTCATGATTGATCTGTATTGGGATTTTCCTCGTTAAAATGAGAACGTCCCCTTTCATGATTGCAAAACATCAAACTCTAGAAATACATGTGGCCCTTGACTAAATCAAATTTCATCATAGGAAGTGTCTACTCATGAGTAGTCAGGCAGAAATATCGAGATTTTTAGGGGAGTAAAACAGAAAGGTACTGCTACAACTGATCCCAATCCATTGTCAACTTTCATTTCAGAGCCCGTTCTCCGTCGCCGAATGTCTTGTCCACCCTGTGTAACACGTTACTTTGGTACACCAAATGGACAAACAAAGGCCGATCCGTGTTGTGATCAGACAGATTTATAAGTTGTGCTCCCAAAACACTCATGCATACACGGTGGTTCTGTCTTTAAGAAAGCAATACTCACCTGATTACCTCGTTCAAATGAACCGACTGTTCAACGCATAATGGCTGTGACAAACTTCCGCATGCGACCCAAACGCACATAAATTAGTATTGTGTATTTCCCCCTTCCCTCCCTCCTTCACACCCGTGGTCGTGATTCGTAAATACAGTCCACAATTGCATAACTTCACACAAGTGATGTTCGCAACTGAACTGGCTTTTTTACAGATTCCGTTTTCCCTTTTTCTTCACAAGTGTCTTTACAACATGGCCTCGCGTGTGCTCTATCATAGTCTCATCCATCGTGTTGCGTGTCTATTCGCGTACCATACGACCAGGTCTCTGCCATTTCACTCCACTCACATCCTCTGTTCACAAAACGGGTCCTTGAAAATCCACCTGCCCCAATTCCATTCAATGCGCTCACCCCACCCCTCACACAGAGTTAAACTGTACAGCTTCGGTCGCATATGTGTTCCACTTTTGACTCATCATGAACAAAGTCCACCCTTCCCCCGATCAACATGCCCTCTCTCATCACTGTCAGGCACACACCAAATGCGTCTTCGCACAATACATTGTGGCACAGCTACTGTGACTGCCTCGATGTTTGATTGTGTATTGTAGTTTGTGGTTTTCCGCTCTGGTTTCCCAAACATTACCAGAGCTCTGACTACAGTGCAAGTATTCTCAGTGAATCAATCTTATTAGAATGCGTACGGAATATAGAAACGCGATAACTAAAGTAGGATTTGATTGTATAAACCATCAGTTGTTACGTGGAAAAAAAATCTTGTCAGAAAGCAGATAACTACTTCGAGTTGAATCGCTTTGTGTTTCAACACCAGCACCTGGAGGGATCACATAGAGTCTGACCGCATTGGTGATACCACTCATACTCGACTAGTAACGCCTGGTCTATGTGACAAGAGCATTGAACGTCCCAGAAGCTGTTTCACGAGAAACTAAGGAGAAACGTGATGGGTCCGGATTACCGTAGCCCATACCAGTTAATCCCCTTTCATAGGCAGCGTTGGACAACAGATACAGGAGGCATGTATCAAACTTTTAACTAATTCCATTCAAGATTATGACAAAAACCAACACAACATATACGGTTCTATCTGGTTAGAGTGACCAAGACCCGACGTGTAACTAACTCCCAGATGCTCGGTTGAAGTCAAGAAGTAACAATCACACGTTGTATTATCTGTACAACTGGAAGAATGAAAATATAAGAATGGAGTGGGCGTTAGGCAACCAAGTTCCGAGCAAGCGTACAACACTGTTCTGATGGAATGTGGTCAGCAAGGGATATAGTGTTCGCCAAAAGCATAGTTTCTCGTGGTGAACGAGCAGTCAACCAGATTCGCCCGTTTGCACCCAGGCACACTTCGAAAGGAAAAGTCTGAAAAAGCAATAGACAGAATAACTGGCCTAAAAGCATGGCAAATACAGAACTTCGAATTCGTCGTATTCTGATTTGAGACTCATTATCATCAAATTAGACAGAAATGTTACTTGATTGCAGTCAAATTCATAAGGTATAAAAACTGACGTCTGTGAGATAGATGTGTTGGATGAGATGATGCGGTCAACGAACAAGAAAACAAACGCACGCACATCAACGAACGGTCGGACCAGGTGAAAAACCACTTTTAATGGCTTTCTCTTTTCACATCCAGTACATCAAAACAACTGGGTACAGAATCCTTAGAAGAGAAATTTACTCTGAATAATCTTCTACCTCGCGCAATAACTGGTACACCATGAAGCAGCAACAGATGACAGACTGGGTTTGGTACAGTGCACGCGATTTTCGTTATCGAGTCGGGCTGTGATAATCAGTATTCTGCCAAAACGTCCCCCCCGACCCCAGTGTACGTTGTTTTGGTACTGACTGCCTGACCTGACCTGCAGTCGTCATGGGAAATGTGCTGTGCGGCACAGCACATACGTATCACTCGATGAGCAGTAAAAGGACGACATTTACCAGGAAACAAGCGAAGCCTTCAACAAGACTGTGATCTCAAGCATTTGGGCTGCACACTAATTAATCAATTGACACTTCTAGCAGTAGGCTCTTTCATCCCCAGCCCAAGAGGGTAACGCTGTGGCGTTTCATTTTAATTAACCACTCATTTTCTGTCGTCAAATAGCTGGTAGCGTGCCGCAGTGTGAGAAACTGTTCCACAAGGGAACTAAATAAGTAGTGAGTAACAAACATGCAAGTCCGAGGGACCGCTTCGATCGGAAGGTCGTGACACATGCTCTGTTAATATGCAGAGATCAAACAATTTCTAGTTTGCCGCATCTAGCCATGGTAGAAGAAAAATGGTTTTTTATCCCCGTAGCGAAACGCTTAGATGTGAAAACAATACAATGTTTTTCGCTTTGGCTAGGCAAAGGCTCCGGTTGTAGATTCCTCAATAAAATTCACCTGCCTTAGCCTGGGCAACCTGGCAGTATTCCGCCCACATGCAAATCATGGAACTTATTCTTTTTCATGAAGATTATTGTACCATAATTTTTTTGGCACGCGGTCTGGATTCAGACGTGCGTGAAAATATAATATATATGTATATATAAGAATAACATCTCAAAGAGCGAATACGGACATAAAATAGGAACTCAGTTAAACAAACCAATTCCATCGCGCTCACTCACCCTGGCCAACAAAGCTAGCAGGGGAAACTGTTCCGAGTTGGCCAAACGACGAACCAGCTCGGGAGTGCAATGCAACATAACACCTCCGTTCATGCCACCCGCATTGCCTACCGTCCCCGGCTCGTGTCGACCGAGGATGCCCATTCCGGAAGCGCGACCAGCCTCATCCACGCAAGATAGTTCCACATCCAAATCTGTGATGAGTATAAATTTCACGTNTTTCACGTGGCAAATAGAAAAAGTCACAATGATAAAGCAAGTAGTATACAGAGCCCAAGTGAGCGTCGAATTAAATGTGGTTGTATATCAATTCCAAGAGTGTGATGAAAACGAATGGAAAATGCCGATAGAAATGAAGATGTTAATAATGAAGCACGAAACGGACGTACCTATAAGGTGTTTCTTCCTTAACCCCCTCCCCACACACAGGTGTCTTGCCCGTCAGGAAGCGGGCACAATCAATGTACACTAAGACAACTCATCTGGATGTAATCTGCAAAGGTACCTTGAACACCCAAACCATCAATACAAATTGCCGTTCCAATATCGTCCTCGAGTGGAATATTATGCTTCTCACAACCAGTATTGGAAGTGGAGATGCACAAGTAGGCTAAATCCGTCGAGGCATGGCAATGCACCAAAATTTAACAATCTCTCTCTGTCTCTCGCCACCACAATCAAATTTACTTGTCAATGATATTCGTGATGCACAAACCGTACACACATGCTCACCTCGATCGGCTTGCGTGATTACCGCATACACCACATCGCCTGTGTTCAGATCCGGACGGTTTTTTTTCGACGCGCCCTCGAATGACAGATAGTTTAGTGAGGCGGGTGATGCGC